TAGGAGCATTGCTTTGAACGTGAAAGGAGGGCACTGCTATAAATTAAGTTTTAAGCAGCCAAAAGTCTACGGCTTACCATGTCAGCCTGCTACCCGAATTCCGCTGTCCTGCCCCGCTTGTCTGATCTCCACTGCAAGACCCCAGGCACTGAATGCGGAGGCTGAAAATTCGACCTTGTCCTGAGTGTGATAGGTGCTGTGCATGGTCTTGTTCACAGAGAAAGACTATGTTCATTGTTCACAATAATTTATCTTTGTGAGGAATTCACTCCCTTTTTTCCATCCCACAGCTGCGACTGTCTCCCGACCTACCCCGGCATCCCCCTCCCAGAGGCTGGCACAGATTAGGTGGAGAAAGAAAAGGACACATGCCGACATGTTCTCAGAACTGCTGCTCCCGAGCCGAGGCGGCCCAGCAGACCCAGTGAAGGGAGAACATGTCGCAATACCAATGATCACACAGCGAACAGGAGGAGAGGTGGCGGCAGGAAGACCAGCAGGCGACTCAAACGCTGCTTGGACTAATGAGGGAGCAAACGGACACACTCCGGCACCTTGTGGATGTTCTGCAGGACCGGAGGCAGGAGGACAGAGCCCCGCTGCAGTCTATCTCTAACCGCCCTCCCCCGCCACAAAGTCCCATCCCCCCCCCACCCAAAGTCCCAAGAAGGAGGGGCGGCAGGGGCCGTGAAAACTGTCACTCCACCCCTGCAGACTGCTCAAGTACCAGGAGGCTCTCATTCCCAAAAATTTGATAAGTCCTTTCCTTCCCGCCTCACCCAAGCCCCCGTCCCAGTTTCATCCCCTAACTGTGTAGTTGCTAATAAAAAATATGTTTCTGTTAATTACTGTTTCCGTCATGTTCTTTTAGAGGAGAGTGTGTTTGAAGGGGGGGAAGGGGGTTGGTAATTGGAGAGGACAGTCACCTTTACCAGGGTACAGACACGGGGGCAGGTTCAGCAGAAGGTCACACACACATTGCAGTCACTAGGCACCCTGGTCAGTCTGGGAGGTGGTTTTCATTTTCTGTGTGTGGGGGGGGCTATGTAACTTTGTGGCTGGGGAGGGCGGTTAGAGATCTTATGCAGCGGTCCTTATCCTGGATCACAGAGCCACGCAGCAAGGGATCTATAACCGTCCTCCCCCGCCACAAAGTCACATAGCCCCCACACACAGAGTCCCGAAAAGGAGGGGTGGCAGGCTCCGTGGAAACAACCAGTCCACCACTGCGGACCGCTCTAGGAGCAGGAGCCTGTCATTCCTCGAGTTTAGAAGCGTTCTTTCCATCACTACGCCCGCTCCCCACCACAGTCTGCGTCCCAGTTTCAACACTTTACCGCGAAATCCGTAATAAAGAAAACGGTGTTCATTAACAAAGTTCCATTTATTTTATTTTTAAACGTGTGTTGGAAGGGGGGGAACGGGGTGAACAGGGTATGTAACTGGAGAGGATAGTCAACATTAACTGGGTAAAGAAACGGGGGCAGGTTCAGCTTCTCTAAACAAACTTAATAGTCACAGGTTACCCTGCTCACTGAGGAACCTAGCTTTCAAAGCCTCCCGGATGCACAGCGTGTCCCGCTGGGCTCTTCTAATCGCACGGCTGTCTGGCTGGGCGTAATCAGCAGCCAGGGTATTTGCCTCAACCTCCCACCCCGCCATAAAGGTCTCCCCCTTGCTCTCACAGAGATTGTGGAGCACACAGCAAGCTGCAATAACAATGGGGATATTGGTTTCGCTGAGATCAGAGCGAGTCAGTAAGCTTCTCCATCTCCCCTTGAGACGTCCAAAAGCACACTCCACCACCATTCTGCACTTGCTCAGACGGTAATTGAAGAGTTCTTTTTCAGTGTCCAGGGCGCCTGTATAGGGCTTCATGAGCCAGGGCATTAGCGGGTAGGCTGGGTCCCCGAGGATCACTATAGGCATCTCCACATCTCCAACAGTTATTTTGTGGTCCGGGAAGTAAATACCTTCCTGCAGCCGTCTAAACAGACCAGAGTTCCTGAAAACACGAGCGTCATGAACCTTGCCCGGCCATCCGAAGTTGATGTTTGTAAAACGTCCCCTATGGTCCACCAGTGCTTGCAGCACCATTGAAAAGTAGCCCTTTCGGTTAATGTACTGGCTGGCCTGGTGGTCCGGTCCCAGGATAGGGATGTGAGTTCCATCTATAGCCCCACCACAGTTTGGGAATCCCATCGCGGCGAAGCCATCTATGATGACCTGCACGTTTCCAAGGGTCACTACCTTTGAGAGCAGTAGCTCAACGATTGCGTTGGCTACTTGCATCACAGCAACCCCCACGGTAGATTTGCCCACGCCAAAGTGGTTCGCGACTGACCGGTAGCTGTCTGGCGTTGCAAGCTTCCAGAGGGCTATGGCCACTCGCTTCTGGACAGTCAGGGCTGCTCATATCCGGGTGTCCTTGTGCTTCAGGGCAGGGGACAGCAACTCACAAAGTTCCAGGAAAGTTCCCTTCCGCATCCGAAAGTTTCGCAGCCACTGTGATTCATCCCAGACCTGCAGCACTATGCGGTCCCACCAGTCCGTGCTTGTTTCCCGGGCCCAGAATCGCCGTTCCACAGCATCAACATGACCCATTGCCACCATGATGTTCACGGTGCGGGGTCCCGTGCTTTGTGAGAGGTCTGTGCCACTCTCAGACTTAATGTCCTCACCGCGCTGCTGTAGCCTCCTCGCCCGATTTCTCAGCATCTGCCTCTGGAAAAGGTGGATGATAAGGTGCGAGGTGTTGACAACGGCCATAACTGCAGCGATGGTCGCAGCGGGCTCCATGCTCGCAGTGCTGTGGCGTTCGCGCTGTCACTCACCAGAAAAGTGCGCGAACTGATTGCCCGCTGGCGCTTTCAGGGAGGGCGGGCGGGAGTGACGGTTGGATGACGACAGTTACCCAAAACCACCCTCGACACATTTTTTTCCCCAGCAGGCATTGGGGGCTCGACCCAGAATTCCAGTGGGCTGCGGGGACTGCGGGAACTGTGGGATAGCTGCCCACAGTGCACCGCTTCCAATATCGACGCTTGCCCCGTTAGTGTGGACTCACAAAGTCGAATTACTGTCCTTAGTGTGGATACACACGTTCGACTTTGTAATATCGAGTTCCACATATTCGATTTAAGTAAAATCGAACTACTCTCGTAGTGTAGACATACCCTTAGACAACGTCCATCACTATCTGACACTACTGACTTTTATACACGACAGCTTGGCAATGAGATTCTAGGAGGCTAGTGGGTTTAGAAACACTGAACATATTAAAATATATTTGTGTTTTAGACACCACAAGTACAGACCAGTCATGGCCACTAACAGTGTTATCCACTTTCTCTTTAGTCAGTGAAGTATCGAGGTAACCACTCCCTTATGTTTTGTACTAAAGCAACACATGAATATGCTTAATGCAAGATTTAAGTAGTGTAGTAGACTACAGTTACAAAAAGACAGGAAATGTAAAATATACTGTCCCTACAGCAATGTTAACTGGTTCATTAGTCTTGCTATGTATGCTAGGTCCATTAATGTATAGTAGACTAATTAGTTTTAAGGTATACTGGATCCATGTATAATGTACACTAGATCCATTCCTTTTTACCAATCATCAATTTTCTCCTGTTTCTGATTTGTAGAGGGTTTGTTGGGATCATTTTGCCACATGCGTGCTGTGAGTCTGTTGTGTGTGGTCCAGTGAAGCAATTACAACTCTTATTTCATTGGTCCCAACAGGAGCCTGGCATCATCAGCACCAGTTCTGGGCTCCCTAGTCAGCCCAAATAGGAGAGTGGCAGTGATGGAGCTAACGCTGGGTGAATAATGAAAAAAGTAGTCACTGCATAATTTATTTGAAAAATATCCTGACATTTGTCAAGTGAATTATTCAACTAATTTCATTCAATCAGCTGTTGCTATCACAGAGAATGTGAGGATTCATTAGCTTTGATTAAAATCTCAGTAGAAGCAGAGTAAGTATATTCAGAATTGGTTTCATACTTTAAAAAGCAATGATCTCACCCAATCTAAACAAAATTCTCAATAAGGATTATGTCAATGCTAAGTTTCAAAGCGTTGTTTATTCTCTGACATTTCTCCCCCACTCCACCCTATTTGGTCAGAAGTGTCTAAAAGGGCTTAACTGAAAAATAAAATCACTCTTGGGTACAGAGTAAAAGTCAATCCTGCAAACACTTATGCATGATCTTAACTTTGGTGGCAATTTGGCGGCAGGTCCTTCGCTCCGAGAGGGACTGAGGGACCCACCGCCGAATTGCTGCTGCCCTTGGTATTGGCCGCCCTAAGCACCTGCTTCTTTAGCTGGTGCCTGGAGCCGGCCCTGGTCCCGATATTCAGGTAAGGAGGTGAGCGGGTGGGAGGTGCTGACTCCGTGGGTGCTCCAGGGTTGGAGCACCCATGGGGAAAAATTGCAGCCAAGCTCCCTCCTCCTCGCCTCCTTCTCCCTCTCTCCCCCCAGCATGCCGCATCCCTGCTCCTTCCCCCCTCCCAGCGCTTCCTGCCGCGGCACTTAGCACTTTCCAGGAGGAAGGGGGCGGAGCGAGGGCAGATGCTTGGGCAGGAAGAGGCGGGGGGGTGGGCGAGCACCCACCTGGCAGAGGGGAAGTCGGTGCTGGAGAGGTGAGTGGCGGGCGGGGGGGTGAAGAGGGAAGGGGCGGGCGGGGAGGGTGAAGAAGCGAGTGAGCGGCGGGCGGCCGGGGTGGGTGAGGAGGCCAGCGGTGGGTGGGGGACTGAGGAGGGATGCAGCAAACCAGCAGGGGATGAGGAAGGGCGTGGTGGGGGGGGGCGAGCGGGGAGGGCGTGGGACCTGGGGCAGAGTGGGGGTGGAGCCTGGGAGGCGCGGGGGTGGACTGTGGGCGGGGCTGACGGCACCCCAATGTGTCCCGATATTTTACTGTTGTGATCTGGTCACCCTACATGTGAGCAGCCCCACTGAAGTCACTGAGAGGACTTACGTGAGTTAAGTTAAGCACATGTGTAAGTGTGTGCTTGTTCCCGCCGAAAGCATGGAAGAAATATATAAAGAAGCAAATAGGAAAAAAAATAAAAATAAAAAAGAGGGGAAAAAAGGAATGGGGAAAAAATGTGACATGTGTTACCTTAAACATAGCAAGCACTGGGAAACACCCTCTATAGTATAAGAGTCAGATCTGGTTCTTTCAAATTGTTATCTTATTGACCTTCTGTAGTCAACATGTCAAGCAGTGATTTATGATTGCCTTTCCCTATGGCTGATGATAGTATTACTTATGGGAATGAAGAACTGGATTTTAAATGGCATAAGACTCAGAATAAAGAAGTAAGTGAATGCCTGAGGACCCCAATTCAATCCACTGTCTCAGTAAAGGGTACTCCCTTAGCCCAGATCAGGTCAGAGGAGAACACAGATACCACACCCCCAAACAATAGTTGAAATGAAAAATACAAAAGAAGTATTTAACCAATGCATGCAAAAAAACCCCAACATGTGACCATTTCATAGAGCTCATTAAATCTATACATGGCAGCAGGATAAACACTCATTCAATCTACAGTCTGGAAGTCATCTGTGTTTTATTCATCTCTGTGTTAGCATCCCAACCGCATCTGATCTTCTGGATCTTCTTCCTAAGGCATGGGAGAAGCAGGATGCTTTTACAAAGCAGGACTATAATAGGAAGAAAAATGGCTATCATAAATGTAGGGGGGGTGTACCACACAAATTGGTTTACGTCAACCCATTTATTCCAGGCAAATACCAATGCGTGAATTGTGCATAGCAGCAAAGCTAAATACCCCATCTTGCTCTGGAAAGAGAAAAGAACACAAGTTTATTTTTTTCCAATAACAGTAAAAAATGTACTTTTTAGGCAGATGTTGTAAGCACTAAGGGCTTGATGCATAACTCACAAAAGTCACTGGGCTTTAGATCAGATCAAAGACCATTAATTCAGTAACTAAGGGGCTCAATCCTACACCCATCAAAGTAGTGGCAAAATTCTCCTCGACTTTAATGGGAGAGACTTTGGGCACATTTTTGCAACTTTTCCCCAGAGCAGAAGTATAAATGAGATGTCAAGAGAGATGGGTGGTCTATGGTGCTACATGCAAATCGTACTTTCCTCAGAAGACATAGGTCCATTCTTGATATCAGCTTAGTTTCCCCACATGCCATTTTTATCCTGCGTTAGCAGGAGCATGGATGTGACTTGATGTTTTGTTAGGTCTTTCCCACCTCTTATTTCTATAAGTACAAAGTACGATTTTTTTTTAAATTTCTTGCAAAGCGAATTATTACAATCAAGAACTTCTGATGTTCCGTGCTATGAAAAAAAACCCAATTTAATAACTGTAGAAGAGCTCAGTGCAGAAATAACTCCCACTGACATCACTGGATTTGATTTAGGATGCTCAGGGAATTCAGGATCGGGCCCGAAGAGAAAGAAGTACTAGCAGCAACACCGAGAAAACAAATTTTTTTTAATGTAACTTTTCATAGTAATCACTGGGAAATCATACACTGCACTTTCATGTTCTAGATATCCCTTCACATAATCAGATTGATAAATTATTTGTTTACAAAACTAATCTAGCATATTAGTGTTATTCTTCTGGTTAGATGGACTTCTTTACCTTGCTGTTGGTATGGGCTGGGTGACGCCTAGTTGAAGAAGAAGGTGGGTATAACTGCTGCCCTTTCATTTAGGACAGCATGAGAAGCTATTGAGCTCCTCTAGAGAACTGAGACGTTGAAACACTACGAGCATCACTCAAAACAAAGGCAGATGCGAGACAGGTCAGAAACAGAGTCACACAGGTGAAGGGGTTTCACTGGATATTGTTTTAGTGGAGATGTGTGTGTCTGTGATAAAAGCAGGAGGGAAGAAAAAACACCACAGAAGCTGAGACACAAGCAGTAGAAGGCCAAGGGCACAGCCAGAACCAGCACTGTCTGGGAATGTGTCCTTGAGAGAGCTTTGGGGCTAAGTGCTGGCTGGAACTGAGAGAAACGAAACTGTCTCCTGCTATTTGATTCCTGCTGTGTTCAGGCAAACAGGACTTTATGTACATTCTTTGGAAATTAACAGAGTTGTATCAGAGATACACTGGAGTATCAGCGATTTCTCCTCTACTGAAACAACCCTCTAGATCCTGAATCTTGGCTTACTGGTTGGGTCAAAAAGGGATAACAGTACTTTAATATGAATAGCCAAAATTGTGAGGTAGAGGCCCCTCTTCACTACCTTCCCCCAGCTACTCTCTATACATCTGAGAATTTTCACCACAACTGATTGCATCTCAAGTTACAGTATATATGACCCCCCATCACAGCACTGTCAGGAGATACTCATTGATGACCTAATGCAAAGTGCTTAATAGGTCATCAGACTTTCATGTTTAGGTGCTCAGGGCCTGATTCACCACTCTTCTAAACCAGTTTTACACTGACTTCAGGAGAGTCTTTTAAAATTAATACTAATGTAAGTTAGAGGAAAACCCCAGCCCCTCAAACTGACGCCTAGGTGGCTGAAGCAAGCACATGTGGATGCTGAGATTGGTACATATGTAGGATTGATTGGGTGTACCTATGGGCAGAATTTGACCCCTTACTTTTTCAACTAGGTTCCTTTGCTTTGAATACACCTTTTGTGCTGGAGAGGGAGAATGAAAGCCTATGTTTATGGTAAGGACCTGATCCTTGCCCTCCCTTCCATCTGCTTTGTGCTGCTCAGGCACATCAGGGCATGTCTGGGCCAGTAGGAATGGGCCAAGTTATTTCTGAAATGCCTTTTATGGCAATGATACTTGGCCAATAGAATGATCCCAAAGTGACCATCACTGTCAGTGGCCAGCCCCTGGATTAGTGGAGCAGAAAGGCGGCCTTTCCCCCTACCTTGTCTCCTATACTGAATGCAAGTTGGCTTGGTCCCAAGGATCTGGCCTTAATGGTTTGATATAGGATGTGGCAGTACAAATGCATCTCCGCTGCCCTGCCAACATACCTTGATCCTGTTCTGGACTCAAAAGAATCTCATGTTAACACCCTTCTAATACCTGACTTTATGATCAAGCCTCGAACAAAGGTGCAAATTGTGGGGGTGTTTTTTGTGATGGACTGCACTGAGTCCAGAGTCTCATTTCTCATGCAGTAAGTCATGGAACAGCCATCTGATTTTTTATAACCAAGAATGTCAAGTTGGTGACATCTGAACTAGTGTCCTACAGGTGTGAGGATACTCCTTGTCATTAACAATCTCTAATCCTCAACAACATTGTAGCCTACCAATATGTCAATCTTTTTTTGCCAAGTAACAAAGTAGTATGTTTGTTGCAAAGCAATTGGCAAAGGACACCGAGTAAATTTTCAGACTGGTTTCCATGAACACTGTGATGGTCTGATATTTTAAAGAAAGGCTATTACTGCTGATCTTAATTTATAATGTAAAATCCTCCAAGAGCACACAGATCACATGTAATGTTTATGTGTACCTGAATACAGTGGAACTCTCTCCAGGTCAAAGAATGGCTGACAGATGGAATTGATGTTACTGCCAGTATGGCCAGCAGAGCTAGTCCCAGAATCCCTAGAGACACGTAAATCTCCATTCTCCAGACATCATGTTCAATCCAGGCATTTTCCTTTTTTTGCTTGACCTGCCAAAAGAACATCACATTTAAAGTGACAGACTGACACAGGACCTTGCTGTTCCCAAGAATTGTAGCTATTTACATTAGAGTCATTTAGCCATGAGCCAACAGAAATACTGGGCTTTGTTTTCACTCTCTTTCTTTTGCTTTTGCCCTACAAGTGAGAACACAGCTGAGTCTCTGCATTTAACTGTTAGGTTATTTACTTCTGATGACAAAGGTTGCATCAGTCTATGCTGAAGGAAAATCACCTAGATTGAGAAGTGTTTACTGACTTGAGAAATGCCTTGACCCAGAGGAGACTTTTCCTGCAGCCTTCGTAACCTGACTTCACAGCAGGGGAATCTTTATTCTTTCACAAACAGAATTCCACCTATGGCTAAACACCATATTTGGAAGATTCTAACAGGAAATATATTAACCTGGACTATTTTAAGGGGCTAATCAGCAGGCATTCTCAATTACTTTGTTATCCTGCCAGGATAGCTATTTAGCTCTAAGAATTACACTTGGCCCATTGAGCTGCCCTGAAAACAATGGTCTGTACAGAGGAAAGGATTAGACTTCAGAGGACCTTGATCCTCCAGGTTATTCTAATTTATGGCTGCCTGCAACAGCCCTTAAGAGGCCATTGCATCAGGTAGGGATCATCACAATGCAGTGTGCTCCAGTCACAGTCATTCTAGCCTGACCTGGCACCAGGACACTCTCTATACTGGGTGGACTGCGAGTGGCTTAGCAGCACTACACTACCTGGGGATACTCTAATGCCAGGGAAATTCCCAGCAGGCCATTCAGGCCAGTTTTTTGTAAATTCTGGAGCAAAGAGCTTGTGCATGTGCAGAATTCTCAAGAAGCTGAAAGCACCCTACCCTCTTTGAGTCAAACACATCTACGCTCATAGGAGCCAACTCCATGGGTGCTCCGGGGCTGGAGCACCCATAGGGAAAAATTAGTGGGTGCAGCCAAGCTCCCCTCACTCCCACCCCACCTCCTCCCCCCCGAGCGTGTCGTGTCCCCTCTCCTCTGCCTACCTCCCAGTGTTTCCCGCCCGGCCATCGCCAAACAGCTGTTTGGTGGCGTTAGCATGCTCTGGGGGAGAGGGGGGAGGAGCAGAACGTCACGCGCTCAGGGGAGGAGGCGGGGAAGAGGCAGGGCTGGGGATTTGGGGAAGGAGTTGGAATGGGGGCAGGGAGGGGGCGGAGACTTTGGGGAAGGGGTTGGAATGGGCAGGGCAGGGGTGGGAAGAGGCGGGGCAAGGGCAGGGCCTCATGGAAAGGGTGGCATGGGGGCAGGGGGAGAGGGAGGGTTGAGCACCCAGGGGAAAGTGGGCAAGTCGGCACCTATGTCTACGCTGTTAGCGGAAAGCTGAGATAGGACTTTAAGACTAACACCACTTCATACTTATTTGTTACTTATAGGACAATGGCAATCGGGATTAGTACAGGAGCTGTACAGATAGGAAGACAGTCAGGTGAGGATCTCAAAGTACTTTACAAACAACTAATTACCTGTGAGGCAGGTATGATTGTAGCTGTTTTATGGAGGGCTAATCTCAAGCCCACATAGGGGAAGTGACTTGCTCAAGAGTATGCAGATTCATTGGCAGACCCATGATTGACACCTGGAGGACGGGACTCTTAGTTCCAGGCTTTAGCAATCAGATTCTGCTCTCTCACTTTAACATACCCTGGCCTGTTAAATGAAGCAATATATACTTTGTGGGTCAGCCCATTGGTTTTTAAACAAAGAGCTTTGTGGCGGCTGCCTCAGATTCAAATGAAAATCTTTCTCCTCACAGGCTTCTCTGCGTGAATTGAGTAGATGTGAGATCAGGACTCTGTCAATAAAGAAGTTTTAGTTCGATATTTGGACCCAATCATACCTGCTGGTACGCCCAGTTCAAAAGCTTGTATCTGTAAGATCTCCTCATTGGGTAGCACAAGCTATAGCATGCATGCATTGAGGCAAAGAAAAAACTGAGAAGGCCGAGTTGCTTTCTTGATAACATCCACCCATTCAACCACTGTGGAAATCGTTTGTACTTGGTCCCATAGTGGAGCTGGAAACCTGCAGCTAATATCCCTGGTAAATAAACCAGTGCAAGAAGGGTGATTGAAACCACTGGTAAAACTTTGTTTATGACCAGGATTGGAATTTTATAGAAAGTGTTTTCATTAGTAGTGACAAAAGGGTGGACAACATCTCTCAGAAAAGTATAGATAAATATTAGCAATGAGGCTATAGATGCTATCTTCAGTGGCAAGTGCCATTTGGGGAAGAGATCTTGCTTGCAGTATTGATCTGAAGGGTATTCAAACTCATCAAAATGATGTGTTTGTCGTAAATGAAAAAACGCAACCTCTTCGTGGGTGTAGGTGACTTGCAAATCCGTATTCTGAAAAGGATAAAAAGAAAAAAAAATGTGTCAAGTTTAAGAGGAAATTAAAGAATCCATCAATCATGTTAGACTCCTGCATTATTGCCCTTTCACCATATGTTTCCCTTACATTATACAAAACAGTAACATAATAGCTATCAAAGACAAGACAGCTCAAACATGTGATGTTTCAACTCTCAGATACTTAGGTACTTAGTTGATCTGTGCTGAGGCAATTTAAATTTAGATTTCTGGTTCCCTATTCATCCTCCAAGGTGGCTTCTGAATAGATTTTCACTCCAGGAAGTTAACTACCACAAGAGAAGATTTCATTATGACCTCTTCTGATAACAGGAATAAATTTCAAGACACAGATTAATAATGTAAACCAAATAACGCACATGGCAATGGAAGCCAGAGATTGTATAATACAACATTCTAGTCAGCCAGTGATATTTTAACTGCATTTGCAGGAGAAATTGAAATTTTTTTGATTGATGGTTCACAGACAGTAGAAACCAGAGAGCTAGGAGTACACATCAGCCCACTCCACGCTTGAGTCTCCTCCTCCCTCACCAGATACACACAAGATCTAATAGTTTTCTGCCTCATTTCCCCCTTCAGAAATGATATGAAATTAGATCATCTCAACTACAAAATTTAATTTTCTTCTGCCAGGTAGGCATGGCTTGATTGACTCTTGCTGAAGTTGGTGACAAAACTCTCATTGACTTTGGTGGGAGCAGAATTAGGCCAGAACTTCAGCATAACACTATAGCATACATTACAGTCAGTGAATTTAAAGATTGTCCTGTGGTTATTAACTCTTGGAGAGGGAAACAGATTAGAATTTATGTTTTCCTTTTATATCTATGCAATGATGGGATGCTGGTAAAAGTTTGTCTGTGGGTGAGGAATTGCATTTATTCTTCACAATCCAAAAGGAGTGTTCCCTTCATAATCCCGTAAAAATAAAATAAAGCCTCAAATAAGCCAGAAATGGTTCCGTTTGAAGACATCTAACTTGGCATATGTCCAGAACTCAGTGAAGAAAAGTCTCTGTACTAGATTTGGGAAAAAATAATTAGCGACTGTAATTTGGAAGTTCTAAATCTGCCTCATGTTAGGACATTGGAGGACTCCCAAACACAGGCGCTAACTTTCTTCTTTCCGGGTGGGTGGTTCACCCCTGCTTTGCCCAGAGTCCCTGCCCCCACTCTGCTCCTTCCTCCAAGGCCCCACTCTTGCTCTGCCTCTTCCTGCCTCCTCTCCACCCCCTCCCCCGAGTGTGCCCTGCCTTCACTCCACCTCTTCCCACCCTGCTCCGACCCCCTCCCCACAGTGCCTACTGCCTGCCGCTGAACAGCTGATCAGCGGCAGGCGCTGGGCGAAGAGGCAGAGCAGGGGGAGAAGGGGGCCCGCCAAGCAGCTGACTGGCGGGTGGCTGGTGGGTGCTGAGCACCCACTATTTTTTAGCATGGGTGTTCCAGCCCCGGAGCACCCATGGAGTCAGTGCCTATTCTCCCAAAGCAGGTTCAGGGCTGTCATCCAGCATCATTCTCAAGAACCAAACTGCTCCATATGACAAGTCAGAGGGGGAAATTCAGAGATGATGTGCAAAAGGGGGCAGCATGTAGCTCATTGGTAATTGGGTGTGAGTCTCCACTTCAAGCTGGGAGTGTAATTTCCAGCTCAAGGAGACATACCTGTGCTAGCTATGATTGAGTAAGCATGCTAAAAATAGAATGTAGTCCCAGTGGCGTGAGGGATTGGTTGAGCAGCAGGAAGGGTAGCCAGCCCGAGTATGTAACTGTCCGAGACCACATGCACATACCTGGGGAAGCCAGCTCCTCCTGCCGCCACAGCTACACTCTATTTTTAGCATGCTAGCTCCATCAGAGCTAGCGAGGGTATGTCTCCTTGAGCTGGGAATTCCACACCGAGCTCGAAGTGCAGGCATACCCTAAGGCTTTGTCTTCACTGACAGAACAGTATTTGGGTTTTTGACAGCGAGATAACAAGTGTGCATAGTGATCTCGCTGTAAAATCCTAAGTGGAGACAAGGTACTCGCAATGGTTACTGCGTGACAGCGAGGTGAGATCAGCCCTCCTCTGCGGTTTGACCTATGCCTTGTCTCCAGTAGGTTTTACACTAGGACAGCTAACATGCTAGTTATGCCACAGTAAAAGCATAGCTTGTCTGTCTGTGAAGACAGACTCCATTAGATGCACTCAGGCTAGGGGTACCCCTACACTGCAATTGGAGATGTGACTGTAGCTCAGGTAGACATACCCGTGCTAGCTTTAATCTAGCTAGCATGGCTAAAAACAGAAGTGTAGTTGTGGCAGCTCAGGGTTCAGCACGGGCTATGCAAGCCCGCTGGGGTCCTTGAGTACCTACTCCCATCACTAGCCCATGCTGCCACATCTACACTGATACTTTTAGCAATGACCGTGTGAGTAAAGCCAGCGCGGCTATGTCTGCCTGAGCTGCAATCGTATCTTGGATTGCAGTGCAGACATTCCGTAAGCAGCTCTAGAGGGTGAGCAGAGGCAGGCTCAACTGGTGTAACATACATGCGGAGAGGACAGAAGATGGGGAAAATTATACGCACTAAAATTCATCTGTGAACTTGGCCCAGAGGTTCTAACCTTTTGAAGAAGTGGTTTGAAAGGCCTAATTCAATGATAAGGGATAGCTACCCTCAGGATAAGGAATTAGTTCTGTGACTCAGCACCTACTGAGGCTCTGGGGGATGGGCGGGCACAAGCCTGCCCACATCTAAAGGCCCGTCCCCCCAGCCTAAGGGGAGGAGCTACTTGACCCAGGCCTCAAGCAGATTTTGGGGGGAAACAAATGAAAAAAACCAGGCAAGGGAGTGAGGGTCACAGGGTTAAAAGCAGGGAGCCAGAGGCGGACACTGAGCAGAGAACCCTGGACTGTGCCCACTGCTTCTCAAAGTCATCCAGGGAGCCAGTGGACACGGCCCAGAGGAACTCTGCCCAGAGACATGACTTTAGGCAGGTTCAGAAATAGGCCCCACAGTCGCAGAGCACTTCCCAGTCCAGCTTCCTCCTGCAGAGGCAAATTTCTGCTGGAAAAGATTTTTTTTTGCTGGACTTTTCTTTTGGGGCAGTGAGGAAGACATAATGTTCATTGTGAGATGACTACTTTAAAAAGACTGTCTTTTAAAGGGGGAGTTCAGGGATTTCTTACTGGAATAAAATGATTTCTACTGGGCTTTGTTCAGCTAGTAGGGCACAACTCAAACCCCTTATGTAGTTCTGAACTGTGCTGCTACTCCACTGGCCCAAACTGTGTGTTTAAGCATGGTCTCTGACTACACAGAATGAAATGTCTTTATCTTTTTATCTCCTCGTGACAATATTGTTACAAGACTTAAAGATGAGCTGATGAGATCCCCGTGTTATGGAAACAGTTAATTCTCTAGAACAACCGAGGTGCGAGATCAAACATTTGCATGATGTATATGAGCTCTTTTTATATGGATGTTACCGAATCGTTATGGTTTCCCGTATTTCTCCCAGGCTCCGGTTTCTGAACTTCATCCTGATCCAGAGTATTCCTGCTCTCCATTACGGAGGAATCCTGAAAAATAACTACAGGATGTAAGTCATCAAGTGCTCAAATGCACTGCTGCAATTTTGTCACTTATTTTACTGAAATGCAGAAATGACCATATTTTTCATTTGCCATATGTTTTCAGGACCATTTGCCTCCTATGGAAGTGACACTCAGCCTGTGGCTTTAGAGTGGTGCATGCTTCCTTGAGGCACTCATGGCTCTAACTGGAGTTCCTTTCATTTTTTCCTGATCCTAGGCAGAATGAGGATCATGAGACCACTCAGTTCTGTCTGAGACATTAAAGGCAGCATAGGTAAAGCTGAGCAAGTTGAATGGACTTGCGAAGATCATGTCAATCCATAACAGTGAGGTCAAGGTTTGGAGAAGAAATAAAATGGAAAGGGTCTGCAGCACTATCCTCTCTTGGTTTCAATGCTGCCATTCTAATAATCCTTTTTTGTACCACTTCACACAGATTTCCAAGAGCATGATGTGGATTGGAAAGATACATGGGCAAGTGATATTCATGCATTAAGACATGCAGCTCTTATTCTGATACTACACATTCTAGAGATGAGAATCCCAACAATATCTGCCTGCTATTAAAGGCTTGTGATATTGTGGAGTATGTAGTGAAATTTACTATAATGGCTATCAGCTGGGCTGACAGCTGTTGTTGCAAAAGTAATGATTAGAAGCCAATTTATCAGTTTTCTGGAAATAAAAACATTCCTAATAAGCAATACTGAAAAAAGAAACTGTGAGAATGAATGCATGTTCTCATCCAATGAACACACGTCTCAGCTGTGGAGCTGCACACCATGAATCATACGGGACGGGTCATGAAAGTGCACTTGTTTTCTTGAGCCAGAATTAATGAAATAAAATATCTGCTGAATGTCCAATAATGAGATATGGGTTAGGAGGGTCCATAATAGCAGACATTAATAATTCTACTCTGTGGTAAATGCTAAATGAATTGGCAAGAAGCAGCCACAACCAGTGCACCCACTGAGACAAAGAAAATTACATTTAAAAGCCCAGCTGTTGAGGAAATAGCTAAATAGAATTATGGCTACGTAGATCATAATTATTATTATTGTATGACGAAAGTGTTGTAGTAAGTCCTTTCCTCACTGCACGTCAGCTCAACTTCCCACCTTCTACAGTGAAGCAGTAAAACCATTTAAAACTATAAGGGACAAGCTCCCGCTGTTGAATATAAGGTTTGCTGTCCACTTTGAGTTCAGCTGGTAAACCAAATGGTATTTTTCCTTCTGATGTGACCATTCCATTTTGTAACATGAAAAGCTGACTCAGAATTATGCTAAATAAATAAACTAAGGTCCAAAATCTGCAGCCCTCACTCAGGAAAAGCTACCTATGAAGACAATGGGAGATTTTACGGAGTAAGGACTGCAGGACTTGGCCTTATGAGAAGAGACATAATAAACATGATTAGAACCTACTGTGGGAGTTACATCTGAAAACCTGCTGTTATATTTGCAAAATTACAGCATAGGTATCAAGAACCAAAAGTTTTTCTTTTAAAGAACTCTGCATTGTTTGGACATATGCACACAGTTTCTAAAAAAAGAACTTTCCACATTTGCATTTAGCAAAGCTTTCGTTCTGAACTTTGTGGAAGATCTAGTGAGAAACACACAGTATTTGGAATAGTTAAAGTATTGTTGTGGATTTCCTCTACAGTCAGAATGGGATTAGATCTTCTCCAGGTTTTGAGACATTGTCCCTAAAAAGCGACCCAGGTGAGGATGTATGACAATCCGTGAACAAGCATTGTTCTTCACAGAAATAGTCTAAAGTCTGTTCCAATCAACCAACCCAGCGGGGTGGAAGTCAGACTCGCAGGCACAGGAAATATGAATAAGCTGCTGTTTACTGCAAACGGGAGCCTTGTCTGGAAACATTTCCCCAGGACTCGGACGACTTCTGTACAGGCAGCTCAGATTAAAGCCTGGAAAACTAAACCAAACAAGACTTTGTCACCCTGAGTCTGGGGTTTACTCCCCTCCCTTTGTGGACTGTAAAACTAGTTCTTACAGCGATTTCTGAGTCACCAGTTGCAGGAAGGTACTGATTGAATTTGCCGCTGGAGTGGGGGAGGGAGAGGACTCCGGAGTGAAGTGAAGTTAGGGGTTGCTCTCCAGGACTCCTCCTGCTCCCGTTGAAACGGGTCTCCTGAGAGCCCACCAGTGGCTCGGCTCAGTAAGTATTTGATTAATCAGGGCAAGGCAGGAGAAAGCGAATCGATTGCTGCTATTTGTCTGCGTGAACGTAAAACGCGGGGTGTTAGAAAACGCAGAGATTAAACTGAAGTTACTTACAAACTTTCTACCTCGGTTTAGGTCTCCAGGCTCAGGACAGGGTGAGATTCCAAGGCGCGCTGGCGCAGCCCACACGCGACCTTGCAAGTCTGATGCCCAGACTTCAGCCTGCCCATCCTCCCTCCCTCCTTCCTTCCAGCCCCGCCTTCTGCATCCATCCGGCTCCACCCCGTCTCTGCTGGGGCTGGGTGAAAACTGGATTTGCCAGAATCCTGCTGATTTTCGTCCACACAGCCCTCAAATTGTAAGGGCTAACTAGAGATCAGGTTTCACCGCGCCTTCTGCACCAAAAAACTTTAGGCTCATGCCCCCCCCGGTACAGAAATCTCCGGATCCGGCAGCTGGAGTTTTCTGGATCCAACCACGTTTGGCCCCCACCCTCAAATTCTAATGTGTGAAGAGAGGACACATGTAGCTGCTCCTCTCACCCCAAAGCCGTTCAGTCCCCAACGCATCCTGGCACATCAGTGCCACCACCAATCCATGGATCTGGTATCTGGATCCCGCGGGATCCAGCCAATTTTTGGCTCCCACCCTGCAAATTGCACTGCTTAGACCGAAGGCGAGACATCCCACTGCATCCTAGCGCAACAGTGGCGCAAAAAGCCGGAGCTAGCGCCCCAGATCCTGCCAGTTTGGGGCCCTAACTCCCCCCCTCCCCCCAATTTCCCAGCCTAAATAGAGAGCGCCTTGAGCTGTTCTTACCGCTCCCTGAAAAATCCTGGTCCTGAAACAGTGGTAGTTAATCCCTTGTTCCCTGTCCTCCTTTTCCTATCTTTGCCAATCGTCCTGTGAGGATCCTCTCTAACCCTTCTGCACTTTGACCCTGCCTCTTGCCAGATATTCTTGCCCTACCAAATAGAACACAAAATTAGGCGCGCTCCCTTTACACCAAAAATAAATAAAAATAAATCTGAACCCCAACGCCTGCCTCCTCCAGTCTCAAACCTACATCCCATGAACTACGCCTGCCCAATACCCTCCCTAAATCCGAGAACATGCCTCACCTCAATTGCACATTCAATTCCGAGCTCCCTCCCCTAACCCCGCTGCCAGCCAAACCCGTCTCCTTCCTGCTGACAAATGGCACTTCTGCAGCCCTGTCTCTACTAACGTAACCCTCACGACCAAAGTCTGCCCTGATCTTGCCCCTTTTATCTGTGGCAATTCTGACAAAGCTGACCCACCTTGGAGATGCATTCAGATCACTAGCTCCGGACTGTGTTCACACTAGTACTGTGGATTATCTTGTCGGCATTTGGGAAGTTACTGCCATTGATACAAAACGTTATTCGCCTCTCGCACTTGCTGTCAGAGTAAATCGCCTGTGCCTCGGGCTGCACTCGGGTTTAGAGGAGGTTTGCTAATGTAAACTCATCTTTGCTGTGCCTCATTTGGTTGTTTAATTCGAAGTACTTGACTCCACGCCTGTGGATCTACATAGCACAAGGTCGTCCAGGCTGAGCCATGTGGCTGGCAGCAGATAAGAGATTGCCTGTAGATATAGTTTTCTTCTCCTTTCGTGCTCTTTGTCACGCTTTAAAAATTACTGTCAGGGTGACATCTAGCGGTAGGAACATGAGGGGAGGCACATGACTGCTTTAATCAGTGACAGCTAAGGGTAGTGTTATATGTAGAGAGAACTGGCTCAGTCTTTATATAAAATATTAAGGTCCAAAGGCGGTCATGCTTCCATAGAGATCACTGGCAAAACTCTCATTAGAAATTCTCAATTGACTAGTTTAGTGGTATCTGGGCTACATTTGTTAAGTTACTTATAACATGACTAATATTGTTAAGCTGGGGGTTGGGCAATCATGTCATCTCATTGAAGCTGTTGATTATGACAGCCAACTTCCATTCAGGCTGAACAAGGAAACAATTAAGTGTCCTTTTGTTTAGTGAAAGGTAAAACAATGGAAAACCAGTACCAAAGGGCTAGACTGCTTGCAAACCTGGGCAGTGGCTAGACCATGCAGTCCAAGATGTGTCCCAGGCTTCTGATAACAAACATCAGGATGGAAGGATTGATTTGATTACAGCTGTGTATTTGTATGCAGGGGTGTCAAAGGGTGTACCTGCTCTGTAGTACTCCCTTCTAGCCCAGCCTGGCTCAGGAGCACCTGCCTCAGTTCCCTTTCACTCAGAGTCCCTTAAAAAGTCCATGCAAGCCAGATATTCAAAATATTTTCCTTTCTGGAGTCCAATTTATGAAGTCCTATACAGTCTTTCAAAAGAAAACAAACTTAGAAAGCCTTTATCCCCTTTTCAGATAGGCCCAGCTCCTCCTCCCCAATAACACAGCTTCCTTCTCCCCCCAGCACCTCTAGCCTAAAGATTAGCCTTCTCCACAGGCCTTCCCTACTGATTCAGGGCCCTTCAGGAACCATCTTACTCCCTACATTGTCTGCAGGCAATTGCTAACAGCTAGCAACAGCTGTGTCCCCCTTTACAAGGTCCAGGTGCCTTCCTGTAACCCTATTGGGCAGCAGGTAATCAGTCCAGATGCACAGGTCTTAAAGGGACCAGCCCCTCTGTGACAGGGGGAGAGAAGCAGCAGAAGCAGATAGTGAAGGTAGTAAGCAAGCGAAAGATACACATGTAGCATGATCCTGAGAAAAACTAAGCAAGAGTGCTTCTGGGTAGAGTGCTAGCTGAAAGAGACTTG